TTAAAGCTCACTAATTATCACATTATTTGTTTAACCCAGACAAAAGTAGACAAAATTGAAATTTTGACATTTTATAAGTGATTAATGTCCAGATTACTTCTGTTCAGGGAGCAGTATCTTCCTGTCGTCTACAGTATGTTGGTTGTCTGATAGCTGCTCAGGACCAAGAAACAGTCATCAACCAATTGTGGTTGTTATGCTTTAGTTTTTGTAGGATTAGATTAGACATAACATGTTAATTAAGATGCTTTATTGCATTGACCTCTTTCAAAAAAATATTTGGAGGGGCTGCATGTGAGAACGCAAATGCCAGAGTCAGCTGCTTTGGACATTTTTCTAGAACTTTTCCTGCCAGTCCCCTGGCTGTCAGAGTGTCAGTGTGAGCCCAGTGTTGATGGTGTTTCACGCAACAGACAACAAAAAAACCAACAAAAAGAATTCAGATATGGATGAAAAAGAGGCACCTTACACATAGAAGAACAAAAAGGTCAGGAGTCCGTTGGGTAGAGCTAGGTTTGCTGTTTCTAGCATTTGAGCTAAGTTAAGCAACCCAGCTGTAGTTTCATATTTACCAAACATATGTGAGAGGTTTAAATCCTTTTTTTAAATCTACCTCTCCTCCACTATTATGAATGAATGTATTGTTTAAAATGTTTTTACTTACTCACATTTTGAGAGATTACATTAAACTTCTCATCGACAGTCGTCAAAGCTCACCTTGTGTTTTGACTCAGCTGGTAGATGAGGACGATGATGTGCTGATGGCCTTGCTGAACCTGGAGGGCAGTGAACCTGGGAAGATATGTGCCAGTTTCGAGGAGCTGGAGCGACAGAGAAGAGAAGAGGAGCAGAAGAAAGCAGAGGAGGAGGCCAAGAGGAGGCTGGAGGAGGAGAAGAGGCTCTTTGCTGAGGCCCGCAAGAGTATGGTACGTGCACGTGACTCAGTGAAGAACTGTAGTGTAGAACACGTATGTGGCTGATCACTAACACATCAGAGCTGCGTTATTGTTGCTCAAACTTTGGCCTCGTCTGCTGCATAGATTTCTGTGTGAAAGAAAAGGGAGACACATCAAACTAACACCTTCTTCATTTTATATTTTCACACTGACATTATGCGTGTTCCTTGAATTGGATTCTAATGAAATGATTATTTTTTGTACATGTATTGAATATTATTCTACTGGGCTCAAGTAGTACACCTGCATTGCTGTTTCCATGTCCAAATTATTTCTTTAAGAGCTCTGGCCTGGATCAGGAAATGTCTGCATATGGAGATGAAACAGTAAGATATTTTCAATTTCAGAAGTACATTACTCACCGAAAATTAATAAAGAAACAACAGTTGTTAATATTTTGTAAAAGACTGATCTGATTCTAATAATGCATTAAATCTTAATACATGGACATGAAGGTCTCCAGATGATGATGAGTTTTTTTGGAATGTGTGTTGGATGTGTGCAACGTGCAAAAATAACAATGGCAGCTGCTTGGTGTTTTCCTGGTTTTTTGACATTATTCAGTTGTGGGTAAGTAGTTGTTTTGCTGTGTTTTAAACTGAAACCAGACCTGATTTAGAAGTTGATACAACATGGCCATAATCCTGGATTCAGTTAGTTAACTCTCTCATATAAAAAAGATGTGCCTTTGTGTTTACTTGTGTGTGTGTGTGTAGGCGCTAGATGAGGAAGAAGGGATAGTGAAGAGTGAGTCTCAGGAGGCGCTGTACCCCAAAAAACTGGAAATGAACTTTGAGGAGCTGCTGAAAGAAAAGGAGGAAGCTGAGAGAAGACGTAAGGCGGAGGAGCGCAAGAAGAAGATGGAACAGGAGAAGCAGGAATTTGAGCAACTCCGACAAGAGATGGGCGAGGTCAGTGTGACACTGTAAAAAATATATATATCACATATCAATACTCAATACTGATCAATCAATCCATACTATCAACCATATTTGTGTTTATATTTAACTTTGTCCACTAATTATGCCAGATAAAAACAGTCTTTTAAACGTAATTCTTTACCTAAAACATTTTTTCCGCTATTAACATAAGTACTCAACTCAAATTAAAATGGCTTCTATTTCACAGGACGAAGTAAATGAAAGCTCAAATGTCGTAAGCAAAGAGTATGAAGAGCTCACTAAGCTCAAGAGGACTGGCTCCATCCAGGCCAAAAACCTCAAGTCCAAGTTTGAGAAGATCAAGCAGCTGACCGAAGAGGAAATTCAGAAGAAGATCGAAATGGAGAGAGCACGGAGGAAGGCGATCGATGATGAAATTAAAGAGAGAGAAGCTGAGAGGTTCCAAGAGGTAAGAATACCCCAACACAACCACAAACAATATGTGTGGGTTTGGTTTATTCCAATGGCCAAAAAAGGTTGCCCCTCAATTTATGTCAATCCTTAAAATGTTTCTTGATAGATATCAAGTTTTCATCAGACAGTCCGGTCTCACTCTTATCATTAAGACGTGGCACCATTGAAGACTTCGCTCATTGTCACATACTGAAGTGACCTTTTTTTTCAGGAGGATGAGGAAAGAGAAACGACTCCAGCGAGGGCTGACGAGTCACCATTCAAACAGAAGGTGGACATGCGAGCTCGATTTGAACAAATGGCCAAAGCCAGAGAGGACGAAGAGAGGAAGAGGATAGAGGATCAGAAGCTGCAGAGGATGCATTTTGAGCAGCAGGAGATTGATGCTGCACTCCAGAAAGTAAATCTTCCCATATTCATGACCATATATGTATTCTAAATGGATGACTGCCAAGCAGGAGTTTGTTCTCAGGTCGCTTTGACTCTAACACTCGTGATGCTTGTTGTCATGTGTTTGCAGAAAAAGGAGGATGATGGGGAGGATGAGGGCAGCATCATCAACGGCTCTGCAGCCTATGAAGATGAGGAGGATCACGCCAGGTCTGGGGCGCCGTGGTTCAAAAAGCCCCTCAAGAATCAATCGGTGGTGGACTCTGAGCCGGTGCGGTTCACTGTTAAGATCACTGGGGAGCCGAAGCCTGAAGTCACCTGGTGGTTTGAGGGAGAGATGCTCCAGGACTGTGAGGACTATCAGTATATAGAGAGAGGAGAGACGTACTGCCTCTACCTGCCCGAGACCTTCCCGGAGGACGAGGGCGAGTACATGTGCAAAGCCGTGAACAGCAGAGGCACAGCAGCGAGCACCTGCATCCTCACAATAGAAAGTAAGACCACCTTAGTGTGATTGCATGCCTGCATGATACGGGATGTGGATTACAGCCTCTCTGCATGGAGTGGATCGCATGCTCCTCTTCCTTGCAAACCTGTGCCGGGTGGCAAGTGTGGATAAATGCTCTTCTGTTTGTTTCTTGCAGCGTACGACTACTGACGCCCTTCCACGTTCTGGAAACTTTCCCTGTTGTCTCTCGCTCCCTTTGTAAAACTTTGCCCCGCGTGGTATGGTATGGTCAAACAGCAGAGGGAAGAAAATAGCAGTATGCTTGGCATTCCTTAGGGAGGGACACACACACAAACACACACACAAAAGCAAGATGTTGTTTACATATTGCTCAATGTTAAAGCTGCACTCCCTGCTAGAGTAGGATGATACATGTGCCAAAAACAGACAGGATTCTTTGCTCCCATGCCAAGGGTTGCACAAAGCTCCAAAACCATCTTCACTGAGAGGCCCTAAAGATATTTGTGATACCAGCATTTTTTCAGTATCATAGTACTGTAATGTAAATATCAGACTTTCCATACATGGCAAATGTTACATTGATGCATAGAAATGTCAAACATAAAATGTCCTTGTCTGCTGATTTTAATGAACAATAACGAACACCTTACAATCTTATATTCTACTACTGCTCAACTATATCATCAGTATTGTAGTATGTAGTTTTATGCAGCCCTCCCCTTATTAGTAAATGGTATTGTGATACTTGGCTGGTATTATATCAAGGGCTAACATATTAGTCATCTCTGTAGGGTTGTGTTTACAATGATATGACATTGTAATTATAGCCACGTAGTGGAGGAACATAGCAATTTGAGCTTGTGTACGTCCTGATTTTCAATGAAACTCTTGAAGTCCTCGAAACAATTTTAATATGTGGATTTTTCATTCACCAATCCCCCCTTTTTTCTTTTTGAATGTCATACTCTTGATGAAGTTGTCGTAATTCAGTCGTGCTGGACAGTAGGTAACCGTTTTATGGTTTGATAAGAAAAGAAAAACTTAGGCTAGCCTGAATATTTGTCATATGAAAATGTTTTAATAAAATGAACAAAAAATAACAGCCTTTTTGTCTTTGTATTTTTTTGTTATGTAAGAACTGTCACCTACCAACTGATTATTGTACATGCTACTTTGACTGTGTAGCTTTAGGGGTTAAAGGGACAGTTCTGTTGGCTGTGGAGCAGGATTATATTACAGTTGCCAATGTTGAATGTCATAATGCTCTGTGCCATTGCTATTACAAATCAAATGTATTACAAAAATGCAACCCCACTTTTTGTAACATTTGCAAAGACTGTTACATCAAGACTGGATTTCTGTCCAGGTAAAGCAAGCAGCTGGGACCTGTCCTGCAGTTGATTTTGTTCATTTAAATAACCTCTAAAGTACAATATCCAGGGAGGCTGATCATGCACCATTTCCCTGGTTGAGTTGTATTGAATCTAATTGCCACAAAGCAGCACAAATTCAAAATAATCCCTGCATGTGAGAAGTGGTCACTACAGTCTCGATGGGAACTTGGAGGAACTAGACTATTGATCAGACAGTGGTGGGTGGGGGATAATGCATTTGCAGGAGTTGAAACAGTCTGATTGCATGGCGAAACAAGGAGCCTCACAAAAATCCTAATCTAGTTCTGCAGTTTTTTTTCAGATTATTATTGTTGTTGTTATCATCGCGCCTTCATGGTAAACTGGGACTCTGGAGGTCTCGCGCTCTGCAGTGCGCTGCTCATAGACTTGCTCCGGTGAGAATTTCCTTTGCAAAAATCCCGGCCGCCATGTTTGTTTACCTCATCCACTCATTGTATCGATCGTGTGGCGAGCGGAGAGACAGGCGTCTCCATGGAAACGCACATTGCCGAACAGTAGATCGGAAACAACCGAACACTTCCGCTGATCTCCAGACAACACTGAGCGGTACATGTGCATCTTCACTGCCTCGGCTACTGACTGAAGATCTGTGCATCTACTGACTGTGTTTCTACTGACTCTAGATCTGTGCATCACTTATCGCTTCCGGGCTCCGTGTTGTTGAATGTGTTGTGTCGGGATCGAACACTTTATGTTCCCATCATGGTCGTTTCTGTGGAGGAGGTTTCTTCGTCTCTTGTGAGGGAATACCTGAGTCGCAAGGTAAGTAAGCTAATGCTAGGTGCGGAACGAGCTAGCGCTGTTAGCGTTAGCCCTCGGTCAGCTATGCAAAAGAGTTCGTGTGGTTGTTCGTGTCGAAATCTGTCTTTCATCTGATAATATGCCACCGGATATAGATTCCTCTGGGACACCAGCGTGAAATATACCACTGTATTAGTAGTATTTAGCTGTAGCTAGGATGATGCTAACATAGCTTTATGCTGAATCAGCGTCAGATTCTATGACCATGGTGAGTCAAAAAAAATAAAACTTCTGCAGCTGCTGAATGTCTCAAACCTTTGAACTCGGGGTCTGACGGCTCACAGATCAGGATGTAACCATAGACTGTGCAAAACGGGATGTAACGCTGCTCCTGGTGTGCAGGGACTGAAGAGAACTATCACCTGCATGGATGAGGAGCATCCACGTACAGAGGCCAGCATCAACAACAGATCTCACCTGAGGCAGGTCCTCAACATAGAGAGTCTCTACAGAGAGAACAAGGTGAGAGATTCACCCGGTGACATTCCCTCTGTGCGACTCCCACGCGTTTCTGGTGCATGACGCAAAATGTAAACAAAAAACATGGCGTCCAGTGTCTTCTCTAATAGGAGGCATGGGAATCTCGACCTGCCTTACAGCTGGATAGTGGCTGCTGTACAAGTGAACGACACAAACCAGTCTGAGGCTGACGTCTCTGTTATTGCAGGTTCACAGCTCCCCCCTGAAAACCTTACTGGAGATTATTGTAAAGCATCACATAGCAGGTCTTAATTATGACCAGTTCCCCAGCAGTGGAAGTGATCGTCTGCTGTCAGCTTCAGCTGTCGGCTCTGCTGCTTCTCCTGCGTTTACACCAGGAGAGATGAACGAGGAAAACACAGCAGCCTTTGTTCATAGCAAACTAATCAAACCAAGGTATTTCACAAGCAGAATTTTTGATCATTTTGTGCTGTTTTGACTTTTTGTATGTATGGGTCGGTGTATGAACTGATATGTGGTTGTGTTTCTCACAGGTCTGATGTAGAAGAATTCCCCCCTTTTCAAACTACTTATACCTCATCACTGCCTGAAACAGACAGTCTGCACAGCAATAATCAAACATGTTTCCTGACCTATGACTCAGAGGATCACAAAGGTCATCCACTGTTGGCTCCTGCCCAGGACACTGAGAGCTTCATGAGAAGAGAACCAGAGAAAAAGACGACCATCACTGAGAGCACCCAAAGGAGCAAAACAAATCGAATTAGACGTGGCATGATGGCTGGACCTATAGCAAGTTCACCTCAGGTGCTGAGCCTTTGTTGAAGTTTTTAGTTTTTGATATTGATCCCATATTCATCATATACTTATCCTTAACTGGTATTTATCATTTTAGGAATCAAATAAAAAAAGGCTAAGTCGAAGGGTAGATGCTCCCCAGCTGCCACTCAGAAAACAAGAAGAACACAGGCAGTCAAGGGATGGACTCTTGATGACTGGCTCTCATCTGAAAAGTGTGGAAAGTGTTCAAACAGAAATATGCTCAGCTGACTGCGTGGGAGGGAGACGGGAGTTGCTGAGTGCACCAGAGAGAACGCAGAGTGGAAACAGCTTTGAGAAAGTGGGGCAAGACTTGCTCAAGACAAGAAAGTAAATAACTTAAAGATATTAGACTCAACATGAGTGATTTAATGGTTTTATACAGTTGAGCATGTTTTCCTACCGGAAAGCTTAAGGCTTTTGTTTAGAAGTTTATGTATAATGTCCCTTTTCTCAGAGTAAAGACCAGGCCCAATGTGGCGGATCAGGATGTGTCCGAGATGCTTTTAGGTAGGTAATCTACCTGCAGTAATGCAGAGAATAGAAAAACAGGCATCATTCCTTGGTTTTAGCTCATGTGACGTGTTACTGTATTTCTAGATGACATTGATGACGATCTGCAAGATCTCTCTAAAGTGTCCTTCCAGAGAACCGCCAGAGAGCGCAGCTATGCAGGCCGTCCGATGGACCAACACACTGCCGTGGTTGGTTGGTGATTTACAGCAGGGTGTCTTTTGAAAACGCTGGGGACAGTTTCAGCAGTTGCATTTGATTTTTCGTTCTAGTTGTTTTTCTGTTTTTTGTTTTGCTCCAGGAATTGAAAGCGATTCTTCTTGGTTCCAGCGTAAATTGTTTCAGCGCTGAGTGGAGGAATCAGGGCTTCACATTCTCTGAAACGCACGACCTGAGATATGGAATTGTGCAGAAAAAGGTTGTCTTGGCTTGCTCAAATTAAGTGATCCAGCACACAGATTTTCATATGATTTTTGGAATTGTGGTTATATGCTGCTTTCTGACGTCTGCTAATGTATTTTCTAGGGTGGTCCTTGTGGAGTTCTGGCATCCATCCAAGCCTTTGTTCTGAAGAAGCTGCTGTTTGAGAATGCTGAAAGCAAGAACACAGGCCTCCAGTACGTTATCCCTCATTCAGTGTTATGCTGTTGACCTCTGTGTGCACCGGCGTAATCACTGGATTGCTTTTTACAGCCAGTAATTCACATCAAGGAGCGCTTAGCCCATGTCAAGTACTGACCCTTGAATTTTGATTTGAACTGCATTATTATGCCAGACAACCTGCTTTTCATTCAAATGCCTGTTCTCAGGAGATTAACACCTTCCAGCAATACCAGAAGAAAGTGTCTCATTTTAGCCGTGGCTGAAATCCTGTGGAGGGCTGGCGAGGAGAAACAAGCCACAGTTGCAATGTGAGATCTTACTCTTTAATCCTCTACATCCAAACATCTACCATCACGCAGAACCTCATTACCGGTCTAACCCATGTTAATACCTGGCCCAGATGTTAAGGGGCAGGAAAGTTCAGTGTGTCACTGATAAATGAGCGACATTCACTTTGTTAAAACTGGACCTCATTCACCTGTAGAAGCCAAGAGTTAATAAAAAGCTTAACTTGGATGTCCCAACACCATCCTTATTTCCTCTGACAGGGAGGTTATGTTTTTGTTTGTCTGTATGATAGCAGCATTACATAAAAACTACAGGTGAAGCCCAGACAGAAACTTAGTGGAAAGATGCACTTTCTTTGGGAAATTCCCCAATTCCACGAGGAATAATTCATGGATCTTGATGAAATAAATCAGGGATATTAAGGGATCTGATATCTATGAGTGTGTCTCATTTGATGTGGCTTGATTTGAGTTAAGAGGACTTTACTGAGTGCTATTGTGTTTATCCGAGCCTGGCCATTCATCTCAGAAATACATTGCATTGATTTAACCCTTATATATTTTTGTAAACAGCAGTTCAGGAAGAAACCATTTCACCCCAACAGGACACTACAAATCTGAGGGTGTGCTTGAAAAGGTACAGACACCTGTGAAGTGTTTATATTGTTGGAGTGAGCCACACTGTTACTATCAACACAGTTGTGTTTCTGTTATCAGATAACAGTTTTCTCTCTGGGGAGCGTCAACGATCTGCAGTTGCTGTTAGAGCAGCATATTGAGCAGGTGAGAGAATCAGTATCAGCTCCTTCATTGAACCTGTCCATATGATGAAAACCTTTGGCAACTTTTCTTCTCCAAATCTTTTTCTCCGCAGTTTGAGACGGGTGTGTTAGGTTGCATTCTGCTGACCATATCTGCTGTTCTTTCTCGATCTGTCGAAAAGTATGTAGATCTTTCTTTACACTACAACAATATTTTCTCCCCAAGGCCCCCACTACACTGAACTCAAACATTCTATATCATATGGTTTATTTTATGAAGTCTTCTTTTAAATGTACCAGATGCACCGAAGCAGTGCTCCTAACTCTGTTGTATATGTCTGGTTTTGTGATGTACAGCATAAACATCCTTAAATGATCTTTCTCTTTATTTTGAAGAATAAGAGAAGATATGGACGTGCCCACCACCACACTCATCGGAGCTCATGGTTACTGCACTCAGGTTTGACACAAAACAAACAGTTTAGGATCACTGGGTGTTGTGTGACTTCATTAATTTAAAATAACTGGTGGGTTTAAGTGCGAAAGGTATTAATTTACTTGTAATTCTCAAAGTCTGCTGCTTTCAGAGTTCCTGTTACAGTTTAAGGCAGAGTTGGAACAGTTGCGTCAAAGACATGTCATCTTTACAAACGAACAAACAGCTCTTCAATCAGCAACTGCAAATTATTGTCACAGATAAATTAAACCAAACAGTTAGAAATGTGCTTTGATCGTGTAACAGATGTGCACGAGGACGTCGTGTTTGTTGATGGCACAATAACAGATGAATCTCAGACATACAAAAAGTATTTTAATCGATACAATACTGTTACTACTCTCTACTAAACTATAGTGTATTGTGACACTAAAATGTCCTTGTGTGTTTTTTTGTCTACCAGGAGCTGGTCAACTTGTTGCTTTGTGGCAGAGCAGTTTCTAATGTGTTTGACAATGACATGGAGTTAGACTCAGGCAATGGAAACATGACTCTACTCAAGGGAATGAAAGGCCGCTGTGATGTCGGCTTGCTGTCCTTATTCGAACATTATAACATCTGTAAGGTGAGTGACATCGCTGGCTGATTCTCTGGTCACCGACAGATCTGAATCAAGTTAAGACACAAGACGTCAATGAGCATTCTTTAGTCTAATTATGGGCGCGTCTCTGCACCACAGATGTGTCTATCATCCCAGCAAAGAATGTTCTTAAGACTGTGATGGGCCTCATGTAATAGTTAACATACGACTCCGCTCTGCTGGGTTCTTTTTTATTTTGTTTATTTAAGGTAGGAGCTAACATGAAGACTCCCCGCTACCCCATCTGGGTGGTGTGCAGTGAGAGCCACTTCAGTGTGCTCTTTGGCCTGCAGAGGGAGCTGTTGACCAATCAGGACAGAGATCTGGAGTTTGACATGTACTATTATGATGGACTGGCCAATCAACAGGAGGAGATCCGGCTCACCGTCTGTATGTGGTTTTATTTGTCCTAAATTCTCAGACCTCAAGTAATTTAATTTCACCCCAGTGTATAAACTCAAACATTTACAGATGTTCAGATTCAGGTATAACTTCTGTATGAAGTGATTCTGTCATTCTGAGTAAATATAACATATATCATTCATATTTTAATTCTGTGGATCTGTCCAATGTTGATTCCTTAATAGTAGCTAGATAGTTGTGTAGCTGTGTCACTAACTGTTAGTATTTCTAAACTGAAAATGTTTTGCATTTGTAGCTGTTGGTAAATCGACCATGAGCAGCCAGGACCCTGATCTCATTCCTCCACTGGAGCACTGTATCCGTACAAGGTGACACATGGACAAACATACATGTACAGTGATTTCAGTAGACCCTGAAAATATTAAATTGACCATATTACATTTTTATTTGTTTTTTTCCCAGGTGGACAAATGCATTTGTCAGTTGGAATGACACAGAGCCGATTCTCTAACTGATCACTAGGTTTATGTAATTTGCCAGGACCAACAATTATCATTTTGTGTCACCAGTATAGATATTTTTACACATTTTTATGTACAATATGTTGTTCATATTGTTTAAGTTCTCTTCATATTGATCTATATATTTCAATGTCACTATTGTTTTCTCTTCCGAAGTGAGAAACTGTCAAATTTGATTTCGTCCTGCCATTTGTTCACGTGCCACAATGATCTAGATGTTACATATCACATAATGTATGTGCAGCTTTGGGTCCACATTTGGATACGACACATCACGTCAGCCACAGAGTCTCATGCTGTTACCTAAACATTTTATTCAAGAAGATGCAATAACTAGATTTTTGAAAGGTTTAGCAATAATGTGTCGGGATAAACACACTTGGATTGAAAGTCTTATATGTTGCCTATAAAAGGTCAATTGATGCAACATACCGTTTGAACATAGTGGCCTTTTGCTGTCTACCTGTATTGATTGTTCTTCATATTTCACATTAGGGTGATATAATTCCACTGTCTATTGCTTATTATAAATATATCTATAAATATGTCAAGTCACATTTATATTTATCTGTCAAGCAATTTTAAAAACAGCTGACCCAAAGTGCTTTACAATCATAGCAAATGAAAAAGCAATATAAGTGTTGATAAAAAGTACTGTGATCAAAATCAATGCAAGAAAAATGAAAGTAACATATTAGAATGCAGTAATATTATATATAATCAAAAACTTAAAGAAAAATGTTCATTATAAAATATTTTTACACCATGTCTTAACAAATTTTACTTGCTGATTATAATCTAGTCAGATTTTGATTTTAATAATCAAGTATTAAATTCCTGAAATTAGGTGATCCGTTATGTTTTCATTCAGATGTGCTGTTATAAGATTACATACTGACTGACTGGTGTACCTGCCCTGTTTCAGAAAGCAGTTAAACAAACTCTGAGTCCAACCCTGATCTCTGCTTCAATTAAGCCTGAGATCTCTTCTAAGTTTTCAGTTCCAAAAAAGCTGATCAGATTTTGATCATAGTATGTTCACGCTGTGCCAAGCATTTGCCTGTTCAATAAAAAAGTCCAACATACATGGAGCTCAAAAACTACGATTCACCATGACACCTGTTAATATAGAGTTTCCATTGTTATCCAGTGGACATGAAAATATGAATGTACATTCTGTTCACTTCAATTTACTTAAGTTTTTTCCTTAAATTAAAGTTATAGACCTATTACTGTAGACCTCTGTCTGACCCCTTTAATTTGCAATTGAAAAACTTAATGTTATGCCTTGATGAATGTTAGCTTTTGTCTCACATCTGATCTGTAACAGATAATAAAATACCTCAGTACCTCTTGGTTTGTTGCTTTGGCTCATTCTCTCGTCCTCACTGTGGCTTTATAAAGACTGTCACAACTGGTGTTTTTCTAACATGGTGAAAAGTTTTGACTCAATCCTTGTAAATACTATTAAACATGGAAATATTGATTAGAATGATTTTACATATGCTTAGATATGCAAATTAAGTACATATATAATCCTATAATCTATTGTCATGACAAGTAAATTTTGTTTTTGAAAAAAGATCATGAATATAGAGCCTAATCAGCTGAGGCTTTTATTTTGAAAATTTGCCAGTTTATTAGATAGTAAAAATAAAGCACTTTAATGGTTAATGCTCACACTGAATAATGAACACAGAGACCCAGGATACAGATGTACAAAATGTTGAGGAATTTTCGTATATATCCTCACACATTACTGTATATGCCACTATATACTGTATTATGTTCATATAGTGTATATGTACATCATTACGAGAAGAGTGCCTGGCTAATTCCATAGACACTCTCTTCTCTCTCTAAGCAGTACACAAGCTCAGGTTATAGATAAAGGACCAACCAACAGTACATTGTAGTGTCTACGCTTAGAGACTTTCATATCTAACTCAGATGCTCCAGACAGAGAGGCACCAACTTCAACTCTCATCAACTTCAACTCTTCTGCGTATTTCACCAGTATCCAATAGGATGCAAACACCTACATGTTGCATAGAGAGTGACAGCAATCCTAGCCATTCATGGATGTGCTGTTAGAATGGGTGACACAAGTAGAGGAAGACCTGAAAGTATATGGGGAAGCTGTGAGAGACATCTTCAGTCTTGGGGGGTGACAACTGCTGATGTTAGCATTTGTATATTGTTGCACCTCTTGGTCTCCTTGATGCATCAAGTCTACATTCAAATCTTCTGCATAAGACATCAGCAGCTGCCTGAGTTCTCCTTTCACCAGCTTCCAGAAAACTTCCATAACACAAACATGATCTTAAAATAACTACTGCAGCATGCAGTAAATTATTTGATAAATTAACATTTATATAATACAATTTTTCAAAATGAAGAATATGAATTAACTCATTATGACATTTGAGGGTTAATAAAAAAAATAAACTAAAGAGAATTAGCTGAAAGATGCCTTGCAGTTAATCAGTGGCTTCAGTATCAGCAGTGGCAAACGTCAGAGCACACACAGTGAGGGGCACACAGAGTGGGTGGCAGGCAGACCTGTGCCAATACCTCCAGCACATGGGATCAAAGACACTGCAGCTGGCGCTCAGACAAAGCTGCAGCAACTCAATTCCCGTCAAACTGCCGTGTGCAACGTGGACCAGAGTTCATGATATATCAGGGAAGTGACAAGAGGCTGACACGTATCCAAACCAACAGCACACGATGAGATTCTGTCGTCATTAAATCTGTCAAAGTCACTCACATGCACAACACTTCCACTCTGATCTCACTGTACTGATGTGATTTTATTAATCTGTCCTGTATTTTTATGAACGGATGGTGACTCATGTGAGGATTTATGCACTCTACGAAATGCATAGGAAGAACCATGAATTAATCATGAGACACGGAGTGAATCAATGAACCCTCTACAGCAATTATACAGCCATCAGGTCTACTGCGATCACTATAAATAAGGTGGTTTACTCGAGAGAGAGGCCTTTGGGTCTAGGAAATTGGATTAAAGTGTTTTCTTTTGCCACAAAAATTTGGATTGCGGGAGTTTGATATACGTCATAAGGAGCCATGATAAGGTTTTAGGTTATATGCTAGTCAGTCAACAGTTGGTGCAGGAGATATTTTTGTAAATCCTGAGGGGAAAACCCAAGAATCAGTCCGTTGTCTTGGTATGATTTGCTCTCAAGGTCCAAAGTTTGCAGACACACTTCCTTTCTTGCGTCATTTCAATCTCTTCTAAAATCATCTTTTCTTTTTGAAAGCTTTTGTGAATTTGCATTTATTTATACTGTATTCATTTGTTTTATTCTTGTTCTATTCATTGTTACTGCTTTGTCCCTTAATGTGGTCACTGTTCTTTTAGGCAACAGCTTTGTCTGTTTTTTAATTTTTTGATTTTACTTCTTTGTAACATTGTTAAGAAATATGTTACATAAATACAGTTCCATCCATCCATCCATCCATCCATCCATCCCACTCATCTTTTGAGGGTCGTCAGGGGAGCTGGAGTCCATCTGGGCAAAAGGAGGGGTACGCCCTGGACAGGTGGCCAGGGTATTGCAGGGCCGACATAGAGAGACAAACAACCACTGGCACTCATTCAGAGCGAGAAAGTCCACACAGACACAGAGAACATGCGAACTCCACAAAGAAAAAATCCTGACTAAAGCTGGATTCGACCTGAGGACCTTCTACCTGTGAGGCTACAGGCACCATGCTGCCCCTAAATATAGTTTATTATTATTATTATTATAAAGTCTGCAACTCTCAGTCCAAAGCACAGCTCCCCTTACAGAATAACAAAGGTGAATCTGTAATCTGTCTCTCACTCCGTCTGTTTCACAGAACAGTGTCTGTCTTGTAGTTAAAGCATTAAGGTGTTTCTTCTCTGCTGAGCTTTAGTGCGGCGCAGCCCGGCTTTGGTCTGTATTTACTATTTATTGCAGCAGCATCTCTCAGAGGTACCGGAGGTGGGATTTAGTGCTTGTGTATAATTGTGTTAGAGCCCTCCCACATGCTGTCCCCAGTGCATCTTCTGTCTCCTCTCCTAATCTGTGCTGTTTGTCTCCAGATAAGTGATATCCACCTCAGATTAGGATCTGGTGTCCCTGCCCTGCCCAGCCAGAGGGAAAGGGATCCCCGGTGCATCCCCATGAGAAGCAGACTATATTTTTAGCAGCCTAATCTTTTTACAGCAGGGTCACAAAACATCAAGCCCTTCCATTAATTGTCATAGTCATCACGATATTATCCTCCTCAACTCTGTCATAGTTTGGTTTTTGCAGGTTTGACTGTAGCAGAAATCTGATGGAGCTTACATTTCTAAGATGGGCTGGAGGTTGTGATTCATGGAAGAGAATTAATTACACTGTTTATGACCCTTGACAGCGACACTGTCTCATATCAAGTCGAGAACACTACATGGACACCACAGTGATAAGATCTGTACGTTACGAAAACACATTCTTTCAATTAAATTTCAGCTTTCGATCTTTTGTATTGACGTCTTCTCTGGATCTTAGAAAAAAAATAAAGCAAACAAACACAACTTGACAGATTAATGCAGGATCCAATGTAACAAATTGTTCCCGCTGAGTCTGTAGAGACTTGCTAGCGTGAGAACTGAGCTGGTGTAATCTTTGGCTTAGCATATGTTTTTTTCAGAACTTTGAACCCCTATGTGTGTGTGTGTGTATTTATTTCACTATGCAAATAAAGACAGCAGACAATAACTGTAACTATTCCCCTGCCACATATTTCAGGACAAGATAATACAACATGACAAAACAATTGGATCCTGTTTATTTTGTCAGGACTTTGCAGCAATGTCACTGTGAGGGTATATGTAAATAAAACTCTCTGCAGAAATAGACATTGTTGAAGTCGTTTCATTAACTGGCAGCTCTGATGCCTTTCAGAAAGTCACAGTGAGGACAAGATACCCCTGTTCATTTCAATCTCATACATTCAGAAATGTCATATTTTATGTTTACAAAGCTTAAACAGGAAAGTTGAAATTCGAATTTGGGTTTTAGAATCCAACTCATGTATTTTCTTAGTAAACTAGAATAGCATACCTCCACCAAGGCCCAACAGTGCCCTTAAATTTTTATTTGGATCTGCACCAAATTGCACACACTCATAAATATCTGTCCCCTAAACATTGCAGATTTTTTTTTTATCAAGATCCATGAATTATCCTCTGTGAAATAAAGGGAAATGTTGAAAATAATCTGGGATTTGCCCCACAATAAAGATCTGGGCCACAATTTCAATGGGTTCTTTCCTGACTCATATGACATTCTTCCACCAAGTTTCACTGTAATCTGATCACTTGTGTTGGTTAATGTTGCAAACAAACATACTCACAGGGTTGAAAACATAACCTCCTTGATGGAGGCTATAACAGACAACAACTGATAACGAGCTGCGATGTATAAGCATCCTCATGAAGTCAAAATATATTGTTTTCCTAAAAATTGAATTTATTCATCCAGAATATTTTTACTTTCAGATTATTGCAATGTGAGTTTGTGAAACCTTTGCGGCAACCCCATCTACATCAATGAGGGTAGGCTGAATAACAAACACCTCATGAAAGTGAAAAAGAAAAAACTGGATCCACTGATCTTGATCTGCACTATAATTTGATGGTTTCTTTCATTACCAATACCACATCCTTCCAGCAATTTCCGTGGTGATCTGCCCAGTGGTTTTTGCGTAATCCTGCTAACTAACAGACAAACAAATAAAAACAGACCAAAACATAACCTCCTAAGCAGAGGTAAACAAGCAAGAAACAATTCTCTGGATATTATAACATGTGGCCTGAGGCTCGAGATCTGTGATACCAGGCACACTCTGTTTATTGGATTTGGATGATCTGGAGAAAATTTGTTTAAAAGTTCCGCTTCCTCATCTGTACACAAAAGTCCTGCCAATGCAAAAGATATTGCTCTCATGCAGTTAATAAAATGAGGATTATCCATATACAACTACACTATTTAGACGACAGAGAAGACTACAAACATTTTAAATGCTTTGCATATGTGCTTATTTAAGGAGCCCACTGAGTGTCTACTGGTCTTATCCAAAGTATATTTGATTCTGCTGAGCTGCAATTGCTCCAGATCCCAAGAAGTCCAAGAGTCCAAGATATTTGACAGATACCACTAAGTGTGTGATTGCCAGAGACAAATAAAAAACCTGCCAGAAATGTTGCAATGAACTCCAGTTTGAGGAGAGGAAATCAGTCTATGGTAACACATCAGTAGGGTGCTGACAATATAAAAACAGACAAAGAAAATCAGATGAAAAAAGTTTGTAATGAAACCCAGTTTTGTTTGGTGTTTTTCACAAATGTCAGTGACACTGACCAGAGGACTTTGTGCATTTTTCCCCCATCGCTGTGGAGACTGAGATAAACCGGTGTGTGAAAACCGTTTATTTCAATAACTCTCTGGGATTTGCAGTCGCACCCATCACACCGTCTGTCTGCACAGGGCCAATCCAACTCTAAATCCTCTTGACATTTTATCCTCTTTTCCCGCTGTCTCCAATAATACCAAAATATGCTGTGCTTCAATATTCTTTATTGTTCAATACTGCAGTGCATTATCACCACTGATGTCATTCCATATGTTCTTGTTGTCAGCGATTACTCAAGTGCCAAATAAAACGTAATGAAGACAATGATGGAGCATGATCAGTTTGAGAACATAATAACAGCCTCAG